AAGTTATCTTTAAACAAATATTACCTCGTATTTATTCGAGATTGATGAAGAAATGGTTCTCTATAACTATTGGTTAGGGGTGACCAAGACTCGACTCGAAAATCATTTTTTTTCAACTCAACTTGAATAACTTGAAATTTTTAATAATTAATGGATTGACTTTTAAGTTTGAGTCGAGTCCCTCAACTCTATATGATATACGTATATCACATATGAAAAAAAATATATGTACTGTATATGGTCATAGAAACCGTTTATATTGGAATCAAATAGTATCATAATATTATAAATATTTAGAATTAAATTGAAAGAGAAACCTGAACAACTTGACTTGACTCTAATTTTATAAACTGACTTGACTCGAAAAATTCAAATCAAGTTTGAATTATAAAATATGACTCGTCAACTCAAATAACTTAATTTTATTTTGACTCGATCCAATCAAACGCTCACCCTACTATCATCAAACTTCTCTCAACAACCATTCGTATGGGAGTGTTAGTAGTACTACTTCTAGTTTCTTTGGTGATTTGTTGCTCTATGAAATATGACCTTATCACTTGTATCTATCAAAATATATGTGTTTGTTCAAGTTAGAAATCATCTAATCCAAATTAAGGATTTCTTTGTGTGTATATATATATATATATATATATATATATATATATATATATATATATATATATATATATATTCATAAAAAATATGTTGTAATATGACTTTTTTTTTTAATGTTGAAGAAGTTAAATTTTTTGGTACAAATGTTGAATAAGTTAGTTAAATCTTAAAAACTTAAATTTTAAAAAAATTAAAAATATTTTTATTAAAATTTAGAAGCAGTTCGTTATTATATTGAATTTTTGTTTAAATTTAATATCAAATCTTATATAGACCTTCGCTTATCAAATTTAGCATAATATAAACCTTCAAATAGAGGGTTGTCAAATTCAGCTTGCCGAATTGCTGATTACATGCAAAGTAATGAAACGTTCTATTCATGACAACTGAGAAGACGCAATGTAGCTCTCGACCAAAGCTTGATGGATGCAATAATCCCGCATAAGAATTCTGTAGAATGAAATAGTATGGTAAAACGACAATAAGGCTACGAGCTTATCAGCATCTACTTCCGAAATACACAAAAACAGTCAATTTACGACAACCTAGCCACTGTCTACAAGCACCTTGACATGCATGGAACACACATGAATAATGCTTTAAGGCATTAGAGAAGAAGCATTAGGCGAGGCCAATTGATGAATAATGCAAAGCCGAGTATCACTTACAAAGCTCTGTGCTTCGATGCAAATTTTAAGCATAGTGATCTTATGGCTTCCACAACAACAATTTTGAATTCATCAGACATAAAATTGGTTATCTGTTTCATCAGGTGATCCACACTCGACTCATTTCCAGTCTTAAGAAGGGTAGTAATTGCAATGCTTCTAATTTGGCCAGAAATTGGACTCCATTTCAATAACGATATTGTCATAGTTTGAAATCAGAATGAACAGAATAGTACATGCACCTCAAGAAAAAGGAAACAACAATCAATTACGGTTGAAAAGTAATTGTATGTTTTCTAAACGTAACATAAGCTGCTTAAACTAATCAGAAGAACTAAACAACCCTACGAACAGAACTCAATGCTAATACATATAGTTCCCTAGATTCACATCTCCGCACAAATCAACTAAAATTAACCGCATCCTTTAAAAGTTTGAAATTAACAAGCCAGAGGTAGAAAGAATCAGTGCCATTACATTTAAAACTTCAGTTGCTACGCATTTGTGGTACTTGAGTTTTAGAGAAGGCGGTGAGTTTCTTGTTCTATTGTCTGTCATAAGTTATTAAAATGGTTTAGTTTCTGTACATTTCAGGTTAGAATGAAGCTTGTGAACGAATGGCTTCCCGTTCTGCTAGTGTGCAAAGACAATGTCTCGCTTATGCTTCCCAGCCATAAAACACTTACCTGCGATTGGAGGAGACATTCCTGCGAACCATCTCGACACTGCCAATGTCGGATGCACAAGTATTGTTGCAACAATGTCTCAGCTTCTCAACCCGAAATGTCGAAGATTGCCCCCATTTGATCACAGCTTTCAATACATGGTTTCGCAGGGCAACTCAGCCTAATTGAATGGAAAATCTCAATTAGAAATAAGTGCATTTGCGCTATGGTGGCAGTAGGCTGTTAGGCGATTAGTCACCCCCTCAATGCTGCCTCGATGGCGGAGGGTTCGGTTTCCTCCTGTCGGTCTTTTGTTCATGTACTAGACTGGTGCAGGTGTAGAGTCAAATTGGTTTCTTTGTACATGAAACTGAATATGTTCCCAATGTTTCAATCAATGTTGGCAACCGAGGCAAAAACTGAAAGCTTTTGATGCTTTTCTTATGGTACATAAAAGTAAATTAATTGAATTCCAAAGAAATATCATTTAAATTTTCTTCCACTTCAAGGATTAAATCAAAGAATTTAAATTTTTTCATTTTAAATTCATCCACTACAATGCAAGCTTGAAATTAAAAGCAAAAGTGAACTGAAATTGCTAAGAAGTTTTTATAGTCTCATAGACAAGAAAATTACAAAAAAAAAAAAACTAAAAGAATTTTCATCTTAGAACTGAAATCAGGCCATATAGTGCAAGTGCAGGCAGCATGTAAGGACTCTGGTTGTATTCAAAAACTCCCGATCTCTTCAACTCCATGAAGCAGTGAAGCGTGAACAAACTGTCGGATCCAGCTTGATGGCTCGAACCCAGCTTGATGGCTCGAACCCAGCTAGATAAGCAACGTTTAACATCTCCGCCACCTTCTCCAAACCACCAAACATGCCAAAGAACTTGAAAGTATGCTTGATGTCAAAGATCTTCCAACCAAAAATATAAACCAATTCATTCATAAAACATTGGATATGATCTGGCAGTGGGCATTGAGTTAGGATCTTCATCAAGAATCCGAAATCGTAAACGCCATGGAAGGTAAGCCATGTTAAGCCTCCAAAACCATTGTTCAACAATCCCGAATTCCTCATCAATATCGCAAAATCACTAGAATCGATACCCTTCTCTCTATTCTTCACAAAGTTGATACCTTGTCGCTTCAATAATTAATCGACTCCAAATCACAGTCATCCTTATCAACATCAAAGTCTGAGAAATTAAACTCCCAAACATAAAAAAACTCAGTACCGAAATCCGGTAAGTTACCCTCTGAGTCTGAAAGGGTCAACCCGAGTTGGATTACTTGTAGCGCATCGACATTGGATCTCAAATACTCGTAGTTGATAGACGGATCACCTTCTTGGATGATTTGCTTACTGGGTTTAAAGATGGTACCCGGGAATTCAGTATCCATCGAGACAAAACGATACATAAGAATCGTACTTCTAATCAACTCGAACTCGTACTCTAACCTATCCGCGAAGACTCGTCTCACTATCACTGGTTTCTTGCGAAGCATCTCCATATCTATTCTTGTTCTGTTTAGAGATCTACTACGAACGATACTGGCTTTCTGGCTTCTGTTATGCTATGGACCAACAATAATGTTTCTGAGTTTACAGTGACAGACCTACTTCACCGCTAAATATAACGTGTTGTCATAAATAAGACCTTATTAGATATGTAAGTCGGCTACTTCTTCCTCAAGTAATATTTTCCAAGCAAATTTTGAATTAGCTGGCCCAAGCTCCACTAAAAGCCCCGTATAGATTTTGAATTAGCTGACCGTTATCTTTTTTCAAATTTGCTTTATTATTAAAAAAATAAGTTTAAATTATTTTTATTCATTACTAATTATTTTTATTTGTAAAACATTACATTATTATTATTTTTCTAATAGTTCACTCTCTTTTCTCTGCTGTTGTTCCCATTTGTATTTTCTTATTCTCTGTGATTGTAGTACTGTTAGTGAACCACCTTAGACTGGATCAACAAGATTCACACTATTAGAAATTGAAGAATTCATAATTCTAAGCATACGGTGCACGACACTATGTTTTCGTGGGGGAATGCTTCAAATTAATTATATTTACTTCTCTTTTTTATTCCAGAAAAAATATACAAGTTGAAGATATTAATGAATCTTTATTCTATATACGTCCTTTACATTTTAGGGGACTTAAGCATTTTGATTGTACAAGGGAAGGTAATCCTCTTGACCCCATGTATCTCATTCCCACCCATTCTGAGATTCAAGCTTTAACCACTAGGAGTTCCTCTTGGGACAAGGTACATTTTTTGGGATTGCTATCCCTGATGTTCTTATGCTTTTTCTGTATTCTTGGGACATAATATTGATGTAAAAATACCTTTCTGGAAACGCCGAAATGTATAGAAGGTTGTGTTTATTAGAATCGTGGAACTTTAGAGGACCATCATAGTGATTCCTATTTAACCCTTCTTGATGTAATCACTAACAAATCTTTTTATTGCTTCGTAGACCGACTTGAGGAGGGCCAACAACACTGAAATTATGCTCGCTAAAGTTAAGATTCCACTTTCTGATATGATGGTAAGCTGGATAGGTTCATGTTCTTGCCTTTACTTTAAACTCAAATAGAGAATGTGTACTATATATGCTCATCAATATAGATGTGATCTTGGAATATGGCACTTTTACTTTTTCCCATAATATATATGAACAAGGAAAAGTTCATTTGATTCATGTTATTTTTCTAGTGGTTGCACGCTTAGTGATCAGAGAGGAGTGACCATTGGCTTCTTCAGCAGATTATATGTTGGTGTATGCTAATTCTTAGGATTCTCATGCTATTTCTGACTAAATTAGTGGCTGCATGGGATTTCCTTTGAACTGATCCCTCTTTCTTCCTCATTTTACATTTTCTTAATTTTAGTCAAACGTTTTCAATTTATTTGTTTGTTAGCCATTTACAACAGTGCCATCTATTTTCTGAGACTGCAGTGCTAGCAATGGATGATACAGTATTAGATGTTGATCAAGTAGAAAATGTCATAAAATTGTGGCCAACTAAAGAGGAAATGGAACTTGCAAAGGTGAAGCTTTAGCATATACATAGACTCAGTGCTGAATTTTAAGCTATTCGGAACTCCTTTTGTATGCAGGGTAGGATTCTGTTTACCATTTTGATTTTATCTTCTTTGGTTGAGATTTTCTAGGGATACACTCGTGACAAGGAGAGTCTAGGGAAGTGCGAACAGGTCTGCAAAATTTCGTCTCACCATATATTCATTGTCAAATTGTTTGACCTGGGTGTTTTATATTTGTAGAGTGATAGATGATTGCCTAGCAATTGACCTGTTGCAAATGCAGTCTAATGACATTTGATTTCCCTTTGTCTCCACTTATAATTATGACCATCTAAAATTTAGACAAGTTTTCTTTTAAAATTGTGATCCTTTCGGTACGATTATCAAATCCGATATATTGTCTTATTTGAGGTGTTTCATTGATTCATGTTCTACTATTTTTCTTTGAAGTTCTTTTAGGGTGTGAATGGAACACATTTAGAAACTCCCTCAACCCCTCCAAGTTCTTTTCATTTTCCTCTTTTGCTGAAAGGAGACTATAATTATGTGCATTTGTACCATAAAATACTTCCCTTGTTCCTATTTAAGTGTTTTACTTTCTGTTTTGACATGCATTGTCACACCCAAAATAGGGCTTAGATTTTTTTAAAAAAATTTATTCTAAGGGTTAAATTGAAAATTCGGTGAAATTTGAGGATCAAAATGAGATTTTAATTAAATTCAAATCCTTAAACAAAAAATATCAAAAGTTCAGGGACCAATGACATAATTATACCATTTCTTTTAGGTTGGGTTCAAAACCTCATTCATTTCCTAAAACTTTCCATTTTTGAAAACAAAACTCTCTCCCCCTCTCCAAACCTTCCCTTTTTAGTAATTTTTCTTTCCAAAAACTTCAAATGTCGTTTTGTGGTCGACCAGTTCTCCATTTTCGACATCGCCCTCACTATCGTATTTCTTGCATCGTCTCGAGTCCAGTGGTGGTCGCCTTGTCATCAAAGTCATCGACGTATAGAGGGTGAGTATAAACAAATTCCCGACGAAGCGTAATCGGGCTCTCCGTCATTCGCCGTTGTGAACCGATGTATGTAAATGCCTTAAAATGGTTTAAAATGAATTTAGAGTTTTTTTGGTAATTTTTCTGTAGCCGCACAAGATGTTGTTGCGCGTGGGGATCGTCTACCGTTTGGCGAACTGCTTAGAAGCGGGTCAATTCGACCCACTGACCTAACACGTACCAGACCTGCTACCCAATTCATACCTGACCCGTCTGGCCTAAACCCAATCGAACCAGTCCAACCAAACCGAACCAAACTGAGTTGAGCCGAGTAGAGTCGCGTCACGCCGAGCCAAGTTGTTGACCACCGTCGTTGACTTTGACTGTTGACCAGTGTTAACCTTTTCTTAAAACCTCCATCATGACGTTTTTCGACGTCATGAGTCCAATTTTGTAGTTCGTTTCGCTAAATTCTAACCTAAAAGCCTCGAATTGACCCCATTAAACCGAAAATATTTAGTATTTTTTTTGTAATTTCTGCTTATTTATCTAGGATTTTATTATAGAATTAATCTGGGATTATATTTTCATGAAGGTACTCGTGATTCCCCTGATAGAAGGTCGACTAGGTCCAGGGCATCCCGTCTGGTTGATCAGTATGATTTACGTTCTTCGAGAGCTACTTGTAGGTTTTTGCAAATCGTTTAATTAGAGTTTATTATTTATTTTACTAAAATGTTGATTCAGTTATTCCGATTAGTAGGAATTAGCACTGTCGTTGACCGTGATAGACAAAACCTGAGGGTATGTTACTGTCCCAGACTTCTCAGATCGGTTCAAGTGTGTTCTTATTGGTGTTACAATGCTGTTTTAAATTATCTATTTGAATTGTTTTAAATTTATGATTTTATTAAATATTCTAACTACATGACATCTGTTTTACCGCATGCTTTGATATCTGATATCTTATTTATCGTATATTTCTGGTATGATCTCTGGTTACCATAATTTTTTATTTGATTCTAAAAAATGTAATGTTTTCATGTTTTGAAGGATTAAACCTCTATTTTCGCCGAGATACATGCATGTTTACTAACATTGGGGGTATGATTGGAAGAAGTATTACAGGCTTAGGTTTTTACTTGTAAGACCTTTCCGCATGCTCTTCTGTTTTGTGCACAAGGTAAGTCCTTACCATAGGCCATTATGTTATTATTATAAGGTCCTTACCGGGTGAACATGTGGGTGTATGGTTTAGGGGAACTTACACATTCTGGTTTTCAGATGGGGGTAGTGTTCATGTTTTCAAAATTTATTATATACTTAACTTTTATCGAAATATTTTATCTGCCTGTTTTTATACGCCGCAAGGAGCACAGTGATTTTTTAGCTCATTCTTTAATTTTTTAACTTTTTAGATACTATCCGACAGTAGGCTAGCAGACTTGGCATCAGGAGGATACTATTGTATATTTTCTTACACCTATCTCTGTTATATTTTGGTGACACGTGTTTACTACTGTCTTCACGTATCTGTATTACTAATATTTTATTTTTCAACATTGATCTTTGTATATTTACTGCATGAACTTTTATTATGGTCATTTCAATATTTTATCGTTATTTGGATTTTATTTACTGAAATGGATTTGGACTGCGTTTTAAATATGAATGACTTTTGTATACGACATGTGACTGTCTAAATTCGCTTGAAACTCCCAGGTCGGGTCTACGGGGTTACACATGGTTTTATCAGATCTTTTGGTTTCTAATACTCGGACTGTGGATGAGTTCTAAATATTTTATTTTCAAGGATTTTCTGATGTCTTTAAATACTATGTCACCTTATATATAGAGTTTTAAACAAAAGCAAGATTTCTAATGCCAATCTAACTTAGTTTTCAATTCTTTCTATAGAGCTTCGTAGATATGATCTGATAAGTGCTCGGGGTCGTAGGACAAGTCGTGGACGTCGTCGTGGGTGAGAGACCCAACCCTCTTTTTCTGTAGAGGACCTGTCATTAGCTAGAGATTCTCCTACTCAGTGTGTCCTCTGTTTTTTAACTTTTTTATTTTTTGTAATTTAGTAATAATAATAAATATATATTAGATGGAAAATTGGTGATTATAGTAGGTTACGTCCCAGACTTTTCATATTGGTTCAAGTGTGTTCCTATTGGTGTTTCAGTGTTATTTTAAAATATTTATTTGAACCGTTTTAATTTTTTTGATTTTATTAAATATTCTGACAGCGTGACATCTGTTTTACTACATGTTTTGACCTATAATATCTTATTTACTGTATATTTCTGGCATGATATCTAGTTATCGTATTTCTGTATTTGATTTTTAAAAAATGTGATGTTTTCATGTTTTAAATATTAAACCATTATTTCCGTCGAGATAAATGCATGTTTACTATCATTGGGTTATGATTCGAGGAAGTATTTCAGACTTAATCTATGACTTGTAAGATCTTATCGCATGTTTCTTTGTTTTGCGAACCGGATAAGTCTTTACCGTAGTCATTTATGCTATCAGTATAATGTCTTTACCGGGTGTATAGGTGGGTGTATGATTCAGGGAAACTTATATATTCTGATGTTCGGATAGGTAGTGTTCATGTTTTCAAATTTTATTATATACTTAACTTTTACTGAAATATTTTATCTGTCTGTTTTTATACACCACAAGGAGTACATTGGGTTTTTTTATCTCATTCTTTAATTTTTTTTAACTTTTCAAATATTATCCGACAGTAGGCTAGTAGACTTGACATTAGGAGAATCAATTATTCTCCGTTTTTGTACTACTGTACATTTTCTTACACCTATCTTCACTTATATTTTGGCATTAGGAGAATCAATTATATTTTGGTGACATATATTTTACCACTGTCTTCACGTATATGTATTATCGATATTTTGTTTTCCGACGTTGATCTCTGTATATTTACCACATGGACTTTTATGATGGTTATTTCAGTATTTTGTCATTATTTGGATTTTATTTATTAAAATGAATTTGAATTGTGTTTTAAATATAAAAATGACTTATGAATACGACTTGTGACCATTTAGATTCGGTCGAAACTCTCACAGATGGTCTAAAGGATTACAGTTTGTTTTCGTTAATCCAGAAATATTTGTTCTTAACTAGACAAACTTGTACTTTATAATACAATTTGGCATTATTCTTAAAGCCGCAATTTAGCCATGAGAATTTCTTTTCAAATTATAGGTTAAAGAGAGTAGTTGACGTCTAAGCTTTGATTTTCATTTTACCTGCTCGCATTTTTCATATGAACGTGTAAACTAAGATTAAGTATGTACTTGACATAGCTATTTTTCCAGCTATTAACTTTCCCTATTATTATTTTTGGAACAATATATGCCTGATAATTCAAACAGAGGAAACAATATAGGTGTTTTTACCGAATAATTATTCTAATATTAAAATATTCCCGATCAAACACCTAATCACCAAATATGTCCGAACTAACACCCATTAAAAAAACCCACGTAGGGCGAATTGGGTGCACCACACCTCCCCTAAGGCACGTTTGGTGCACCGCACCTTCGCCAAGCGTCAGCACCCCACAAATGCACGTCCGACGTGGCGCGCCACCCCCCGGCCGACCGGTCACTGTGTCCCATCCCTTCCATTCCTTTCCACCCTTAACTCAATTAATTGACTGAAAAAAATCAGAACGACTCGTTGCAAGGGAAGCGCTTTCCCCATTTTTAGAGAATATTCCCCATGTCATAGTGTCTCATCCCATCAAATATATAGCATTTATGAAAACAGTTGCCCGATTGCCGACATATAAAAATATCAGTTCACATAATTTTCTGTTAGGCTCGTTCAAAGGAAGTACTTTCCCTTTTTTCAGAGAGTTTACCATGTCATGGTGTCTCATCCCATCAAACATAATTGACGAAAATAATTCCCCGACTCTCAATCTCTTAAACTCTTAAATTCTTGAACTCTCTAACTCTGAAACTATCAAACTCTCAAACTTTCAAACTCTGAAATTCTCAAAATGGTTCATATTTCAGCTGTTGTTTATTATGATTGAGAAATTCGAGAAGATGAATCCGAGGTTTTTTTTTCCGATCAAATCAGTATATTCTTGTTACCTTCAAGAGAAACATCACTATTGAGGAATTAGTAACAAAAATCTCAATGAAGACTCATGTTCGAAATACTAGAAAACTGTCTAAACTTTAGTACAAATTTTCGGCTGAAATTTTTCCTTTAACATATACAACATTCAACCTCTCGACTAATGAAAATGTTACTATGATGGTTGATACTTCCAATTAAAATTCAAACTCTACTACATAAATGTATGTCATATTTGTTGATGTTCATGTAGTTCGTGGTATGTCATTATTCTCCTACTATGGGTTGCCTCAACCAGTTCGTTAAGTTGATAGTCCAACTCAAACAATCTGTAATGATTTCACATCATTAATGGCAAATCCACCTCCTAGTACCATTCTATCAAGTTATAGGGGGGACATTTATCTGCTAACTTCTTCGAACTTAATATGGATATGCCTTCTAGTTCCAGGGAGAGACATTCATCTGCTAGATTTTTTAACCTCAATATAGAGATGTCTTCGACACAACACTCAGTTCATAACCCATATCATAGCAGTTTGCTCACATTCTCGTCAAGACTATAAGTGTTATGTGGATCCTGTATACCAACATTTAGAAGTATTCAAGGTGTATGAATATGAATTTCCTCCATAGGTAATGAAAAAGACTCAAATGAGGTTCAGACTTGGCTTCCAATTATACCAAATCCAAACTTATTAAGGGATCCAAGTCGTCCAAAATCCACTCGAAATTCATTGTGATATGGATATTCGAGAGACGTCAAAAGAACACAAAAGATGTGGGAATTGCAGAAACCTAGGCCAAAAATAGGAAATATATTTCATCTCTTTTATCATCACATAATCGATGACCACTACTCATGTACTTCTATTTTTTAATGTTTCAAATTATGTTATTTCAGTACCACTTATTGTGATTTGAGCTTATTTATTTTACAAGATGCCCTTTAACATAAACATTACATATAATTAAAAAAAACTTACTTAATATAAAGACATAATAAAGAAACAAAATAAGAGGTAAAAACATAATTCATGTCATTTGATGAAAACCTAAAAACCAATAAATGAAAATTACAATAAATGAAAATATCATCAACATTATCTATTGATGCCTCCTTGAAGCATGGTGGTGGTTGTCTACTTCGATGAGGTTTTACTCTAGGAGGTTGCTCTTTCTATTCACTCTCTTCATCGTCGTCGTCATCGTTATCTTCATCATCATCATTATCATAATAATCATCTCTCAGCTACATTTTCTCGATAAGCCATGGACGAAGATGCATGACTTCTGTAGAATAAAAACCCTATAGGAGTATGACTAACCATCCCACCACTTCTTGAGAACTGTGAAAACTGTGAAAAACAGACATGGATGTCTACGATCCATACTGTGAAGTAAATATTGGATCCATAGGTATAACCGTATAATATCCGCCAAGGGGTGTCATAAAACCCTACGGGCTCTGTACATAGCCATGCGGTAGAGCCATCTGAACCGGCAGGCTATGGATGTAAAGAGGTGTCGATGGTTGTTGTTGTAATGGTTTTAGTGGCATAGCTAAGGATGACCCAGATGCGTCTACTCTTGATCCATGAGTCGGGGATGATGATGTTATGACGGTATACGTTTTTCAATTTCCCCTTGTTCTCTTTCTGAAAGTAAGAATGGCTTTTTGTTTGCATTGAATAATTCATTATAGCCATCTAAAACCACGATACCAGTTTCTAACATATACTCTTAAGGGGGCAAGCGTTGATGTTGATTCTCCCACGTTGCTAACCAATCTCTATGCTTCACCAGTCAATTAACCTCTTTTTTGCCTCGTCTATCGATGTTATGCATATTGTCGAGATTTATTGGTGCTTCAGGAATATGTTGTGTGAAACCAAACTGACGAAGCACACAGTCAATCGGATGCCACTCAACAATAACACAACAAATAAGAGGCACAACTGTCAACCATACATCCAATTGCTTACTCAAGTCAGGTGGGATGCAAGCCCTCATATCGTCGTTTAAATAGGGCAACCATTTGAACTAAAACAAAAATATATATTTTTTATCAAAATTTAAATGAGATTAAATTATATAAAGACAATTAAATGAAAAAAAATAAAATTAAAAAATGTACCTCTATATCAACTTTCTGGTCAATGAGTAATCAGATATCTTTTAATTCTTGTAAGATATTATGATGATCTTTTCTATTTGATGACAACCTATTTAATAATATATATATATATATATATATGTTATTCT